TCGATTGTTATCTCTCGATAACAGGTCGGTTGTTACAAATTCAACTTATCCCCTTTGACTTGATACTCACCTCTAAAGTCAAACCCTGTGGTCAGTAAAACTGTCACCTGTGGTCATTGCCTAAATGGTCCTAGTCACTCTCAAGGGTCCTTTGTAGAAATGTGAGGGAGATGGGCTTACGTCTCAGGAAAGACAAGGCTGTTATAAATGGTTTGGGAAGTGAGGGACAAGGTCAATGGTTGATGGTTGACGTCATTACTGCATGGCATGTGAACTTTCTTTGCATTATTTTGTGCATGTTTGTTTTGTGCGTGATTTGGATTGAACTGGACCTGGTCTGTTGAAGAGTCTCGGACACACAGCACTAAAGAAAGTGGGAAGGGTCCTCGGCGGTAATACTTTCATATTCATCATATATCCAACTTAACTTCTATACTGTTTTGATGTTCAGCGAAGTCATAACCTGTTAAGAAAGATAGGACGTCCTTTGGTAGAAAAATGGTTTGATTAATATTTGTCAAGGGAGCAATACATTACGCAGTAGCGGAAACAGACAACTTTTTAAAAGTTTGACCCTAACGGGTCAGTTCTAGGCGCCTTACCGCGCGTACCCCATCTTATGCTACAGCGATCGAGCAAACGCCCTCGGCCGACCTACCTCTACAAAGGCATGTAAAAGCCTTTGCATGTGGGCCGGTAGCTCAACAGTGATACGCCTACCTGAGGGTGGTGACAGCCCCTCGGGTAGAGGTAAGTTGTACCTCACGGCCCCCCGACCTGTCGTGGGGTGTCGTGAGAGGTATAGCACGCGCGCACGTTTGGAGTGGTGACCGGTTCTTTTTCAGGAATGCATCCTGCGTGACACGACTGTGAGGTTCAGCGCTCCCAGCGGGGTGAGGGACCGCCGCGCGCGACAGGTGGCGCCGTTGTCGGGGATCTCGCTTCTTAGCCGAGGTCCTCAGTGAACGAACTCGGGTAAGGCAAGATCCTGGCAAAACGACAATGATCAAAGTCAAAAATTGACTAAGAATCTGAGCAGAGTAAGGTGACTTGAATAGTTAGTAACAAGTAGTCGTTCGAAGCAAATCAGTGTGTAAGGTATAGGGAACGATTGTCCTGCTTATAGTTAGAGTTAACGAATATGGTACCTAAAGGTCGTGGAACCGGTACTGGTAGAGGAAGAGGTGGCAGACAAGGGAAGACACCTGAAAGACCTATAGATTTGACTAAGAAATGGGAAGACTGGAGGGAAGATGATGAAGAGTCAGAAGAGAAGGAGGAAGGATTGAGGGAAAGAAGGTATCGGGAGGAGAGGCGCATGCATATCCCAAAACCTGAGGAAATGACTTACTATTCGTATAGGTACACAAGGCGTTACGGAGAGTGTCCGCCATGCTTCGAGTTGCCTAGTCGTCCGCATCATAGCCCTTATCAGTTGTCTCAAGAACGTCAGTTGACCGTCCTTCCCCAACCTCACCAGCAAGGGCCTCAAGCAACACACCGCTTGCTTGACCCTCCTGAAGTCGCGCAGTCTGCGACTCCTGATAGGAGGATGTGCATAACACTCCTAATGTTTATATTATGTCAAATAGATATCTGCGGGTTGGTTTCTTGCTTGTTGTATAAAAAGATTATATAAGGATCATCTAAAAGGTCGGATAAGGTGGCGAAAGGGGGAAACTAGTCAGGTCATAGGCTGAAATCTGCTAGCTAAGTGAAAGAAACGTGGGCAGGGTTGTGTTGTGTAATAGGTGGAGTGTACCGACAAGAGAAGAATGTCGTCTGCAAGTTAAGATCAGAGTGCTCGCACTGATGAGGCAAGACCTAATGATGAATCCAACTCGTCATGAGGAAAATTAGGAGATAGGGTATTGTAGGGGAATGTCTATGAGGGAACAAACCTTTATCTGGATTGAGTATGGACGAGTTAGTGGCGAGAACTGTGCGGCAGAGAAGGTTACTCTGGATATCACATCAGAGAACTTACAGACCGATTTCGTTCTTGATATATAAAAGGATCATCTAAAGAATGAGAGTAAGATATGGTGAAGACGGGGGTTTCTCTCATCACTAACTAAAGGAGAGACGTGAGGAGAACCCCTCTGAGTTGAATTGAGAAAAGGTAGTTTGGACCCTCAATCTTTTCTAGGGTCAGACCGAGGGAAGCTAAAAGATAAGAAGAGGTATGTCAGGAAAAACTACGGGGAAAGAGAGCCTATCTGTAAGTCAGGCTACTTCATAGCAAGGGCACCCAAAAATTAGTGGCTGAAGCAGTACATTAAATAAGTTGTCCTTTGGCTTGCCCTTGATAGATCTTCGAGATTTGATCAAGATGCCCTTTGCAAAGCAAGTGTCCAAGGTCGAGGCGCCAGTTAGGAATGATAATGAGCTAGAGATGACGCTGCCAAAAGGAAGGAGCCGAGCAGAACTTAGTGAATCGTGGTGGAGTTACCCGTTATTGAACTAGACATTTTTGTGGGTAGAAACGAGTTGGAATACGAGGGAGGAGTGGCGTAGTGTGAGAGTCACCATCTACCTGGCTGCGAGTCTCTGGCGTGATTATGAATCAAATTTCGATCAAGGGGTGGAAGACTATCTGTTATTATTCACAGAAATGAAGCTCGGAGTTTGGGAGAGGGAAGGTCCATGGATAGACACAAGAGAAGTTTTAAAGGAAATCAAAATGTTTCCGACCAAAAACTTTACTATTCCGGTCCGTAACGTTAAAACCACGCTCCCGGATTTTATGGTCGAAGAGTTGTTTTTTTGTCAGGAAAGGGTAGAGATGGCCGCCGAAGCCGCATTGATAGTACCTAATAGGGGGTATGATTTTTCCACTTCTCACATGATTTACTGCCTGTACCTGGAAATGGGCTCCGAACTCGACGAGAGGGATTTTAGCAACGTGTTGTCCATGGTAAACGCGTACACTAGAGTTTATTTCATGGAGGAGCGATTTGGGTACTGGGAGAAATTGAAGGAGGAAGTGCGATCTGGGATCTACATAGATGGCATTCCCATCATGTTTGGGTTAGTCTACAACTTTTTGTCCGGGGACTGGATGATGGCGGAAGAGATGAAAGAAGAAGAGAGAGGGTTTATATTCTAAAAAGATTATGGGGTAAGGTGCTGAGGCATAAGTTGTAAGGAAGGGAAGAAGGTGAAAAAAGACGTTACTTATGTGAATTATAGAAGGATGAAGGGAGAAAAAACTGGGATGAAGAACGAAAAAAGATGAGGCAAGAAGACAAAGGAGATGACTCGAACAGGATTAAGGAAAATGGGGGAAATTTTAATGTAAGGAGGAATGACACGACTAGGTAGAACTTATGCGTGAGTATTGTGAGTTTTTTATTTTTTTCTTTTGCACTTCACAGGCCGCCAGGAAATCGCTCAAGATGTCGTACGCTACTCGGGGAATTGGGATTGAGCTGCCCATTCGTACCAGGCTGGGATTAAGGATGTCGTTGCCCCAAGGGCTAAGCCTGAAGGAAGAAGAAATCACCTCATGGTGGGGAGCCCCGATTGGGCCAGAAGCATTTGTGTGGGTAGAATTTGGGCATACCCCGGACCAAGAAAGTATAATACTTCGAGCAACCCTTTACCTCTCATCGCACTTGTGGAGAATGCACGGCATCGACTTGGCATTGGGATATAGTCAACCATTATGCAGGTATCTCCTGATTACACGAGCAATCCTAGAGGACAAGATCAGAGAGGAAAGGTGGGGGGAATTTCCACCGATTATACCCATGATAGAAGCAAAGTGGGAGTCGGACTTTATCTACCCCACCGACTACGTAAAGGCTACCCTGTCGGACTTCATCATTGATGAAGTTTTTCACAAGCCTGCTAATGTAGAACAAGCGGCTCGGGCCGCCATAGCCGTACCCCTGGGGAGGTGCGAGTTTTTTACACCCCAAGTTCTTTATTGCCTATACTTGGAGATGAGGCCGGAATTGGTTGATAAAGATTTTGAGGAAGTCTTGTCCACGGTAGATGCGTTTGTTCATGTCCACCGTATGGAGCCGAGACAAACTTATTGGAGAAAGCTTAAAGCAGAAATGAAGATCAGGGCATGCATCTTTGGTATCCCGATAATGTTCGGTATGGGGTATGATTTCTAGACGGGGGATTGGTTGTCTGCAGAAGAGATTGGAAGGGTAGAGTGGTAGGCCATCTGGAAGCAGAAAAGATAGGACCAAGACCGTTTTTGACATGTCAATCGTCTCATTAGAATGTAGGAGGTAGTAACTGGGGCTCACAGAACTAAGAGAAATTAGTGTATACTAGTTAATGTCAAAGGGGAGAGATGAGAATAAAAGAGAAGGAATGTAATATAGTTAGAACCATGGGCCAGACAGGCCTTAGAAAGCACCTTGGGAAGGGTAAAATACTCTCAAGGCAAAAATCTAAAAAGATAAGTAAGAAAAACTAAGAAATGATCCGAAAACCCGTCGTCTCTGTATGTGTATGACAGATTGACTAAGGACTGTGGAGATGGGAGATGCCAATGGAGGACAGGGATCCATCACGGCCACGGAGATCGTGCGGCTACTGAAAAGTAGGTCGATCAAAATGTCACATCTGCCAAATATATAAATTTTTCCTTTTTAAGAAGAGTGGGTTTCTCACTGGTTAGAACTTCTGGAACAGGTTTTCAGTCGGCTAACACCGGTTGAGAAATTTGCTCAGCTATATGAATACGTATGGGGGGAATATCGCTCAGAGGTCGGAAATATCGTCGCAGAAGCCCAGAGTAATTGGATCGAATTCAAGAAAGGAATGCAGCAAAAGTACAAGTTGGGTGATGGGTTGTTAACAATCGACCATCTGCACAACTTGAATATGAATGATTTCACTACGATTGAAGCGTTCGCCACAACCTTTGAAAAGATGGCAGAGAGAATCCCGGGGCTTTCCGAGGACATGCAATGTGTCATTTTCTTGGGGAAATTCTCAGGATATGAGGCGATGGAGTTGACGCGGGGAGGCGCGCCGGGTAAAAAAACCTCGTGGGCGACGATAAAAAAAAAAATAGTATCAGGAAATTTGGACCAGGTGTTTCATCACCAAGTGAAGATGGAGAGAAAGAAAAGAAAGGAGGTGAGTGCGATTCAGGGGACGGATTTAGCCTTAGAAGGGGTCTTGAGTAATATGGCGGCTCAGCTCAAGGAGATGAAGGAGCAAATGGCACCAGGGAAGGTAATGGCGGTCGGTCAAGCAACGAACAAAAAACAATATGGGGAAAATAATGAAGGGGATAAGGAAGAAGAGGAAGAAGAGCCAGAACAGACCACCAAGGCTAAAACAGCCAGAAAAAGATTAAGAATCAACCAACAGGAAAGCAAGGAACTGGCAAGGTGCAGAATCCGCAACAAGATGGGACGTTAGAAGCACAGACTCCCACAGCCCAACTCACACCATGGCCAGTTGTGGCTTCTATGGGTGCATGACCCGGATTTTTTCCGGGGAATCAGTGGTCGGGGTTTGGTCAGATGAGCCTGTATCCGAATCTGCCCCAGGTACAAGGAGAAGGTCAAGTGCAAGGAGGAGCGACAAACGGAGAACAGCCTCAGCAAGCCCAACAAGCACACGGCAATCAGAACCAAAATCAGTTCCAAGGACAGGGACACGGACAAGGACAAAGTAGATGTAGGAACGAGGAAGAGGAAATTGTCAAGGAGGAAGAGGGAATGTCGAAGGTGGAAGAGGATTGGAGGAAGAGGACATGGCGGACAAGGAGGAGGCTGGGGCAATCAAGGAGGTCCTCAGTCGAGAAACTATAATCAGATGAACTTTAACCAAGTCGGTCAGGGGTATAACCAGGGATATGGTCAAAGACTATAACCAAGGTTATGGTCGAGGGTTTGCTAGGAGTCACGGGCAGTGGAATGATCAGGGATTCGGACGAGGTTGGGTAGATTATAGTGAATGTAATTGTACCCATTGTCAAATCAAAGGTCATACGGTGAACAGATGCCATATTAGAAAGATGGACGAGCTGGATGGGATAATTACGTCCAGCATGGATATGGATGTTTACGATAAGCGGGGAACTCTCATTGACCCAAAGATCTCTGGAAGTACGAGGTAAGAGGCACTCAGGGTTGCAGGGCTAGGACCCAGTGTCCCCGCCATGTTTCGGATACGGCAGGAAAAGAAGGATTCATTTATCAAAGTCGAAGATGTGACTGAGCTGGGAGAACAATTAAGGAAAGGACTAAAGATAGACCAGGAAGAGGAGGAAACCCCATTGATTGAGCTTGAACCAAGAGAGGATGAAGTAGTCAGGGAGTCACCGAAAGACACCTTAGAGAGGATGAAAGACCTGATAGGTAAGATAGGAAGACTGAATACCCGAATGATGGGTATATGTGAGGAAGATAAAATTATGGAGTTAAGAGCCCCGCACGTATTTACGATGAATCAAGAAAGTGGGGAGAGAGACCCCGAGAACCAAATCCAAGGGCACTAAGGGCTAGCTTGGGTGCAGGATCTGAAGCAGCTTACCAAGCCCTCAGAAATTTTGTGCCACATACCGCTCGTCAGGCGAAAGGAGTCAATACAACCAAGGAGCAAGAGCAGGTTCCGCCTCCTCCTCCTGAGGAACCCTCTATCGATATAGGCGAGGGAGAGAAAGACCAGAGAGCCAAGAAGCGAAAACAGGGGGGTAAGGAAAGAAAAGAAAAGATCGAAGAAAAATCCAAGAAAAAGTGAAAATATCAGACGTCTATCGAAGAGGGAGTAGACCTAGAGAATTTGGTGAATAAACTTCTTGACGGACATAACGAGCTTCTGAATTTGAAGGAGATTTTGGCAACAGCTCCAAAGCTCAGAGAGTTGGTCAAGGCAAAGTTGGCAAGGAAAAGAGTGGCAACGGTAAGATTGGGGCATTTGATTCCCAAAGAGGCAAACTGGACCGTCGCCGGGAGTAAAATGGATTGGAAGTCCGTAGGGACAGGTTCTATCGAAGTTAATATCAGAGGAAGAGCGTGCCCCGGAATGTTAGATACCGGAGCATAAATGAATATTATAAACTTAGAGACGGCAGAAAGATTCGGGAGTAAAATGGCGTAGGGACAGGTTCTATCGAAGTTAATATCAAAGGAAGAGCGTGCCCCGGAATGTTAGATACCTGTCTCTTATACACATCTAGATGTGTATAAGAGACAACGGTAAGATTGGGGCATTTGATTCCCAAAGAGGCAAACTGGACCGTCGCCGGGAGTAAAATGGATTGGAAGTCCGTAGGGACAGGTTCTATCGAAGTTAATATCAGAGGAAGAGCGTGCCCCGGAATGTTAGATACTGGAGCATAAATGAATATTTTAAACTTAGAAACGGCAGAAAGATTCGGACTGGAAGTCAATAAAAGTGACTTCGGATACCTCAATGGGGCCAGTGGGAAGTCAGGCTATACAAGTGTCGCCTGAAACGTCATCGTGGAAGTAGGGAGGATTAAGGTCCGTTCCTGCTTCTACGTCATGCCGAGTCTGAATTTTTCCATATTAATGGGAAGATCCTTTCTGTCAAGGTCATAAGCAGTCCTTATAAATAAACATGGTGAAACTATGTATGCCATATTGTGCGACCCGGTGTGTGGGAATTTCGAGGTACTCACATGTGCAAACACGGGGCCTCACTGTTCAAAGAACCGTCTCAATGGAGGGTCGTATACATTTGAAGAATTGGAGGACAGGAAAATGGAATTAGAGTGGGGATCAGGCGAGGAAGATGAGGATGAAGAAGATGAGGGACTGGTCCTAAGCTTAGCTAATATAGATCAAGCAATGTGCATGGTCTCACTCTATGAGATGACCGATCAAGAAGCCATCATGGCCTTGGCTGACAAATTGGGTAAGTATCCAGAAGGAGGGAGAATGAAATTGGTATATAGGCCACCACCGCGAGATGTAAAGATGCAGGTACCTTATGCCCAGTCGAGCGGTCAGCATTTTTTAGGGGCGGGTTCAAGCAAGGAGGCAAAAGGAGGTACAAGACAGTAGATAAGAAAAGTCATCCGGTTCCAGTACTAGTAACACACGAAGAGAGTGTGTAGTATGAGCAAGAGAGAGAGTTGATAGGGCAAATGAAAGAAAAATGGGATGAAGAGGCATGTCGTATCAATGAGGAGACAGAAAGGGACCTGATTATCGAGAAAACCGGGTTTCTGACTGAGCAAGAAAGGGCGTTGGTGATAGGATTAATGAAGGAGAAACATTATGCCTATGTCTTTAATGATGACCAGAGAGGGAGGTTAGATATAAACAAGGTAGGGATGATCAGGATCTATACGGTCCCGCATCAGCCTTGGAATGTTAGAGGAGCCAGGTACCCGAATCCTGATGATCAGAGGAGAGTGGTGGAATATCTCGATGGGAAGATTGACTCACACGTGGCAGGATTTTCTAGTGGGTCATATGCTTCACCATGCTTCTGCTTTATTAAGCCAAATGGGGTGCTCAGATGGGTGCAGGACTTGGAAAGATTGAATGTCGTGACTGTTAGGGATGCTGGAGGGCTCCCTAACGCTGATCAGCTCTTCAAAGCGTGTGCTGGAAGGTCCATTATTTCTCTTATAGACCTCTACTCTGGCTATGACCAATTCCCTGTCTACCCGATAGATAGGCCAATAACTGCAATGCATACTCCTAGGGGACTGATCCGCATGAAGCAATGCAACCAATTAGTCCACAGATCACAGAACCTCATATCGATGATCTTGCAGTAAAGGGACCAATGATAAAGGATGAACAAGAGGTTGCACCTAGGATTCGAAAGTTCGTCTGGGATCATGTTGATGATCTCAGGAAGGTGATCGATCTCCTGCAGGAGCACAACCTCACGGCAAGTGGCGCTAAATCCAGACATTGCATGAGAGAGGCGACCATTTTTGGGTTTGTGTGTAATGAGTTGGGTCGCCGTCCGGATATCAAGAAATCGAATAAAATTCTTGAGTGGCCGACACCATTCAAAAATATAGGTGAGGTGAGGTGTTTTCTTGGGACATGTGGGTTCTGGAGGATATTCATCAAGGGGTTTGCTACAAAAACTGAGCACGTAAGGAAATTGGTAAGGAAGAATCAGGAATGAGAATGTGGAGAGAAGCAGGAGCAGGTGGTAAAAAAATTGAAGAAGGAATTTGAGGAAGGAGGCCTGGTATTGGGGGTTCTGGACTACGAAGCGATCTAGAGCGCCCCTTCATAATAGAAACCGATGCCGGACCCACTGCCTTGGGAGGAGTCTTGATACAGGCGGATCATGAGGGTAAGGAAAGAGCGTTGCGCTTCGAGAGTCGAACTCTCAATTCAACTGAAAGGAATTACTCCCAATTCAAGAAGGAGGCCTTGACAGTATTACACTGCCTACGGATCTTCAGACATTATCTCTTTGGGAGAAGATTTATTCTAAGAGTACATCCGACGGCCTTCATGTATTCCCTTAGGAACTTCTCTCCAGCTGATCCTACAGTTGTCAGATGACTCACCTACATCTTGATGTTTGATTTTCAGTTGGAGCGCATTCCGGGGAATAAGAACAGAGCAGATGGGTTGAGCAGGATAGAATGGGTACAACCTGGGGAAGCTAAGGAAGAGACGTCACCGGTAGACGGATTCTTGAAAAAATATGACATGCAGCTTCACGTCAATGTGTGGGCCTTGAGAGTCGAGGATAATGAGGTACGAGAAGGAAAACCTATGTGGTTTGCACCAGCGACCTTTGTGAGGAACGAGAAGTTGATATTAAAACCTTTCGTCGAAGAGGACCCGTGGGAAGAAAGGAATGCGGAATGGATGGCAGAGTTAGCTTTGGCTGAGAGTTATAGATTGACAGAAGAGCCGGTCACGATTGAGGCAGGAACAGGACGGGTGGATCGGCATTTATTAGCAGTAGGGAGAGTGCATTACCTTGTGAACTCTCTCCTACAGGTCCGGACCGAAGAAGAAAGAAGGACGGTAAAGGCGGATAAGGTAATATTGGGAGATGACTACGAATTTGATGAGGAGAAGGAAGGAGAGGAATTTGAACAAGGTGAAATCTCGGAAGATTTCCGGGAAGAAGAGTACGATGGGTTCCATTTAGAAATGGGGCTTCTTCTCTCAGGCGACAAGCCAGAAAGGAAAGTTGGTGAGAAAACTCTCGGCATGAGGGACCATTACGTGGTAAGGGGTGGGTATCTCTTCATCAGGGATAAAAGAAAACCACCTAGGAGAGTTATCTGTAGTAGGAATCGACAGATTGATGTCATAGTTGCTCTCCACGACGGGCCTGTTGGAGGTCACAGGGGTTTTGCCGCTACTCTCAAGAAGGTGACGGAGCTCTACTTTTGGGAAGGAATGTACGGGATGGTTAGAAAGTACTGTGAGTCATGTGTGCAGTGCTAGGTCAGATCGCCAATCACATATAAAGAACCCTCTACCCGAGATATATCAAGGATGTGGGGGCAGTTGTCCACTTGGATTTGCTAGCAATGTCACTGGGACTTGGCGGGTACAACTACAGTTTTGATGCTAGAGACAACCTCACAGGATTTGTTGATGGAAAGGTCATCCGGACCAAGACTGGGGCGGTCTTGGCCGAATGCATCAAATAATATTACCTTCGTTATCCTTTCGTGGTGGAATTCACGATGGATAGAGGATCGGAGTTCACATGTGGGGAGGTTAAAGAGTTATTGAATGATCTCGGAATAATTGTCAAGTACACCACCAGGGCACATCCTCAGGCTAACGCACCGGTAGAGAGAGGGCACAGCACCATCACGAACTTACTGGCAAAATGGACAGCGGGGAAACCAAACGTTTGACCTAAGTTCCTATGGACACTATTCTTCGTCGAAAACATCACGGTCAGGAGAACCACGGGGTATGCTCCTGCGACCTTATGGTATGGGAGACACGCCACCTTTCCAATAGAAAGCTTCCTGAAAACCTGGCGGAGGCAGGACCTTGAAAACGATCTGCCACTTGAAGAGTTACTCGACATCCGAGCCAGACAGGTCAGTGTCACAGAGGAAAGGATCAAGGAAGCAGTCGAGAAGGTGACTGACAGTCGGGGAAAAGACAAGGAAATATGGGACCGGCTTCCTCGCGTACGAATTGAACCATTGGCAGTCGGGGACGTGGTACTGTTGTATGACTCGTCCCTGGAGAAACAATGGTCAAGGAAGTTGGATAAGAGATGGTTAGGGCCGTACAAGGTTCGACGTCAAAGGAATCATGGGGCGTATGAGCTGGAGGAAATGGATGAAACGCCAAGGAGAGACTAGGTTTCTAGATCCAGGTTGAAGAAATTCAGGACAAGAGATGATGTGAGTCAATAACCTAAGTCAATAACCTAAAGATAAGTCAATTCAATCCTCCTTAAAAACTCTTGTGATTGCATCATTTGCGAACCTGATATTGTTACCCGACTGCTGACACCCTGTTGCACCTACCACTTTCCTCGTCTTTTTTCTATGTGCAGGCTTAATCCTGTAAAAGGAGCGGCAATGACACGAAAGGGAGGGGTGGCGGGGTCTTCCATGCCAGCTTCTGGCAGGGAACGGCGATAGGGATTACGGCGGATGACCAGGGACGCAGATGGAATGCCGATCTACGAAAAGGGGGACAATTTGAGGTTGTTCCTGAGGGAGTTCGAGGATGATGCATTCAGGAGGGAGTGAGACACACCGACCATGTTGTCCAAAGTGAATGGTGTGGGGGAGTGTCAATTGAAGATTGAACAGATTACCACCGACTGTCTGGGATGGATGACTTTCAAAACGGAGATGTCGGCTGAGTATGGGGACCTGAGGAGAGACGAGATCGAGGATGATATAATCTTTGATGGAACAAATGTGGAGGATTTCGAGGACAGCCTCACTCTGTGTGCAAAAAGGAAGGGGTGAAAGGAAGAAGAGAAGCTGAAACAGATAATGGCAACGGTGGACCCCAGGGAATATGAGAGCATGAGGAGGGTTTCTTGTCAAATTCAGAAGAACCTACACTCTGGTCATACAAAGACAGAAGAAAAGACAGTTACTTCAGGAGCAGGGATTGTGGATCGGAAGGAAAGGAGGCAAGCTAGAAAAGAAAGTTCGACAAGAAATTGACGAAGAAGATGTGCCCCTCAGGCAGGTGTTTATCAGGACAAGGACAACAATTCAGAAGGGAGGTGGATCAGCAAGCAGGATCGCAGGAATGCAGGGGAAGAGAAGAGGCAATGAGAAGAAGCAAAGCAAGGAAGAAAAAGAGGGAGAGAGGGTACAGGACATGATGAGAGAATAAGAATGGAAGAAGGAAGTGGAGGAGGTAGCAAAAAAAAAAGAGGGCACAAAAGAGAAGAAGGAGGGGGAAGAAGAAGGGGAGAAGGAATCGGATATGATGAGTGGGAAAGAAGGGATGAAGGAAATGGAAGAGATAGCAGAGGGGAAAGAGAGCGCGAAGGAGAATGAAAAAGAGGAAGAAGAAAGGAGTCAAACAGAAAAGGAGACTGGAATGGCGGCCACTGAGAATCCTCTCAGGGAACCAGGATCAAGGACGATGACCAAGGAATAGGGGAAAAAAAAAGAGGAAGAAAATAAGGAATGGAGGGACAAAATGGTTGCATCAATGAAGGAAGATGAGTTGCCTGCAGATGCCCCTTGGAGTGAGAAGATTGAAGGAATGTTGTTAATTGAATCAATCAGGGGCTCTAAGCTACGGCCAGACCTGGACAAGCTGATCCGGTTGCATGAGCTGCTTCGGAATGACTGTGAGTGGCTCCTTGAAGTAGAAGCCGAGATAGCCGAGAAATTGGAGGGAGCAAGAAGGAGCCAGAGAGGGAATGACAATGATGGAAAAATGGAGGCTTCGATTAGAGGACTCCAAGAAAGGGTAAAGGAGAAGGAGGAATTACTCACTCAGGGAGTAGCAAGTCACATCCCTGAAATCCTGAGGGAGATCCAGAGATTGAGAAAAAGGGAAGAAATCAGGGATGCACAGGTGGAAAAAATGGGAAAAGAAGTGGAAAGCATGAGGGCTGAAATGAGCAAGGTAAGGGAAGAACAGCAAAAGCTTAAAATGCAAGTGGAATCGTTGAACATTGCCCTGGATAGTAAGAACAAGGAAGTGGAAAAAAAGAGGGTTGAACGAGAAAAACTGGAGAAGGAAGTTGGCAAGCTGGAAGGGGAGGTCAATAAGCAGGAAAAGGAGATGGAGACTCTCAGGAAGGTTAGTCAAGAAGGAGGAGCAGAGATACCTACGAAAATAGTTGAATGGAACGACGAGTTTGGGTTTGAAATCATGAATATTACGGGAATAATTCATGCATCAGGACAAGACCCAGGGGGAGTAAGCAGAGAAGCATTGAGACAAAGAGGGGAGAACAACGATCAACCTACTATCATTCCAGCTTCTGCTAACAAGTTGGTTGAGATACTGACATCTAACACTGTTACAAAGTCTTCTAATGGAGGCGAATCCAGGGATGAAAAAAAGAGACCTTGTTCTGAGATGGTGGAAGCAGGTGGAGAGAAGGAGACAGCGATTCCATGTCATTCTGCCAAAAAGACAAGGAGTGAGGGCATAAAGTTGTGTTGGTATTTCATGAAAGGGATGCATCTGACGGAAGAATGTCCAGGGTTTCAGTTTGATGAGGAAAAGGGTTTGATAAAGCTAGATGAAAATAAGAAGCTCATAGACAGGGTTGGGAACGTTGTTAAAAAGGCCAAGGACGGGTTCAGGGCTCAACTGTATAGACAGTTAAGCCTTAGCATGGTAGACTAAGGGGAAAGTATGTGTTTTGACCTTCTATGATTCACGCTTCTTTTTCTTAGCAAGACTTTGTACAGTATGGATAGGAAGTGTAAAATAGATAGGGTATTTTCTCTTGGGACATAGTGATGTGCTTTAGCAATAGAAAAGAGGCAGCAAATTTTAAAATCTTTGCTTTGATATAGAGTTAGCTCGGCATATGTGCTTTAGTGAGTAGAGACAAAGAGACATGTGACTCGTACTTCATCCATCATTTTTCTTTTTCTCTTTTTTAGGAGCGACACCGTTTTTTCCTTGTCTTCCTTCTCTTGAGTCATATATTATTAAATTTATTCATGGGGGTTTGCCGACGAGAGACACTTTCACTTTCACATCCGAGTTGGTCCTGTGTTTGGTCTTGTTTTGATGGAATGTGTATTTTTGAAGTCTGTATAAGCTGTATTATCAAGTCTTGAACTAGGATGCTCACAAAAGCGCCTAAGTGTTCAAAAAGGATAAAGTGAAATGTGACATGTACGGTCTGAATGTGTTTTGACATTGTTGATCATTCTTCCATGCTTTGTCTTATGTTGTTATTGTTGAGAAAAACCCTAAAAAGGGGGTGTGCAAAAGTTAAAAGCTTTGATGCATTTGAGAAACTCTGCAAGTCAGGGAAGTGTATGTTATAAATGAAATGGTTGTTCTTTTTCTGCCTTCTGACAAGACGAGGGGTTAAACAAATACTTTTTATATTTTTTTATGGATATTTAGTTGGTTTTCCTGTTGGTTGAAGATCCCCAAGACGTGTCTCTGTCTAGCCTGTGATTGAGGTTTGGGCAACACGACGATGCCCCTCGTTCAATGACATATGACAATCATGATATATCATTTTTATTGGTTAAATTTTCTTTATATATTTTCAAAAAGATTCATTCATCCAAACCGACGAGGGGATTCTTTAGTCAAATTATATATATATATATATATGAAATGATCATCGTTCATCCACTCTAGGTGGTCACTCTGAGGGACTTGAAATTACCAAGCCTATGGTGAAAAATTGTCATCGTTGGGATGTAACTCCCAGCGTGGGCTGCTGACCAAGTATAACCAGGCAGCGGGTCTTCCGATTACGGCCTATGACCGAAACCTGAGAGGAGGCCTCCTTAATGATGGAATTGGTTCAGGTAGATATCGGCGGTATCAAGAGTCAGGTTTAGAATGATAGGAGAATTATACCCGATATTGCGTAACCAATACGGGAACCATCGCTAAAATAACAACAAGGTGGGCCGCAGTTTCGGCCTGATCTACCGGTTGTGGTGGGTTGAAGTCGAGGTCGCCGATCCCCTCGCTTTAGACTTCAGGTGAGATGGTAAAATTTGACTGAGGTCGAGACCCGCGTCCAAAGAGTGGGATTCGATTTTTTATCCCTAACTCCTCGGACACCCAACGAGATCCTGGCAATAAAGACTAAAGTTGGGGTGAGGAGCTATCATTGTCTTCCTTGGTGACCTCCGCAACTGTAGTACAGATCCAGTATGCCCACTTCGGTTTATATGAAACAATCTTTTCTTGGAAATTGTCATTTTTGGATATGTGGGAGACCCACGTTAAAATCCTGGCAGTATGGACACACCAAGGGGGACAGTGAGGGTCTCCAAACCGCAACTTCATCCAGGGGATCGGATTTTGACTACTTGTCGCGTCAGAAAACCTTTCTTTGCATTTAGATTCCCCAGCGACAGGGACGTCACTTAATGAGGTCTGGAAAAACTGTCGGAGCTGATACCCTTACAAGGGTATCCACTCATGATTTTGTAGTCGACACAATGTCGGCATCAACAGACAGGCTGGAAACAACTAAAAACGGGAAATGAGGCAAAACCCTCGACTACTATGGTCAATAAGGTTTTGCAAGCACAAGCGCCGAAACACGGTGCACACGATCTAGAGTCAATGGTTAAAAAAATTTCGGATGCTCGCGTGCCTTATCACGACAAACGCAGAGACGAAAAATTTTAGGGGTAATCACACACGCCACCCTGAGCACGCAAAAGATTAAAAAGGGTTAGTGAATTGAACCTCCAGCCGCAGAGATCGGAAGGTTGGCTTGACAAAAGGATCGCACGGATGACAACAACAAATAGTGCCTCAGTGTCCAACAGACGTCGGGGCAAGACTACTTGCTGCAGACTAAAAGACGTAGGGCGAAAGCTCTAAGGGTCTGGCCACGTGACCAGAACAAACTGGTAAGGTAGCCAGGCTACCGTAGTAGGCTACGACAGTTGGCGGAAGTCGGAATTTCCCTTAGGAGAGGCTGTAAGCGATACATCAGCCTGGAAGAGGAGGATGCCGCACTACACTTATACTGGGAAAAACCCTAGTATAATTGTACTAGGAGCTAACCCAGTAGGTATGAGTGCGGACTGACATACCAGAGATGCATGGATCGAGTCCGACGGACCATGGGCTAGCTCCTCTTTTTCCGAAAATCGGCACTAAGGTCACCCGTTATTTTTTTCACCTGCCCTTGGATGAACGGGGCTCGAGCCCGCAACATTGGTTTTAGGATTTCGGTAGGGTTAGTGCCCGTTGTGACAGTTGGCACAACGGGGCAGTTAGGGTAGTTAGATTCTTTTTTTTTTTTTTTTTTG